ACGCAAAGTGTCCCCTGATCAGAAGAGCCCCGCGAAGGGCACCGCCTGGTACATACCGCACCATGGTGTTTACCACCCTCGCAAGCCAGGAAAGATCCGCGTCGTGTTTGACTGTTCGGCCAAATTTATGGGAAAGTCTCTCAATGACATGCTGTACAAGGGCCCGGACCTAACCAGTTCTCTTGTAGGAGTCCTGTTGAGGTTTCGTGAAGAGAGAGTGGCTGTTATGGCGGACATAGAGTCCATGTTCCACCAAGTGAGAGTTCCCGATCCTGACAGTTCCTTTCTGCGTTTTCTTTGGTGGGAGGATGGCAACATGGCGCGCGAATTACAAGAATATCAGATGGTCGTTCACTTGTTTGGAGCCATTTCATCACCGGCTTGCGCAAATCTCGCACTCCGCAAGACAGCAGAAGATAATCGTCACAGCTTCCCTCCTGATGTCATTAACACAGTTAAAAGAAACTTTTATGTTGATGATTGTTTGAAGTCCCTCCCTGGCGAACAGAAAGCCATTGAGCATGTTGGCAGTTTATGCACTTTACTATCGCGTGGTGGTTTCAAGCTAACCAAATGGGTCAGCAATAGCCGTGATGTTCTGCAAGCTATCCCTGAGAAGGAGCGAGCAAAGGACATCAAGGACATGGACATAAGGAAGGAAGAGTTGCCTGTTCAGCGAGCCCTAGGAGTTCAATGGTGTGTAGAATCCGACTCGTTCCGCTTCAGAGTCAACATTAGCTCCCGTCCACCAACGCGTAGGGGTATCTTGTCTCTAGCGAGTGCTATTTTCGATCCGTTGGGATTCTTGGCACCGTTCGTTCTGACCGCGAAGGAAATCCTTCAAGATCTTTGTCGCATTAAGCTAGGATGGGATGACGAGATCCCGACTGAGTACGCTGCACGTTGGGAAAATTGGCTAGCAGATGTTCCAAAGCTCTCGGAGTTTGCTGTGAGTCGCTGTTTAAAGCCAGAGGATTTTGGTCCCGTTAAATCCAGTCAGCTACATCACTTCTCTGATGCCTCAGAAGCAGCTTATGGTTCAGTGACTTACCTTCGACTGGTTAGCCGTGAGGACCGAGTTCATTGTTCCTTCCTGTTCGGAAAATCACGCGTTGCTCCTTTGAAAGCTATTTCTGTCCCTCGTTTAGAGCTCTCGGCCGCAACCGTTTCTGTGCGACAAGACAAGATGCTCAAGGAAGAGCTGGAGACGCCTCCTAATTGCGAATCCGTGTTTTGGTCAGACAGCATGTCAGTGCTTCGTTATGTGAAGAATGAAAGTACGCGTTTCCACACGTTTGTTGCCAATCGGGTTGCCGTACTACGAGAGGGCTCAAGTCCAGATCAGTGGCGCTATGTGGAAGGTGTAGCGAATCCTGGAGATTGCGCTTCAAGAGCGTTGACTGCCAATGCATTGTTGAGCTGCCAAAGATGGTTACTGGGGCCGGAGTTTCTCTGGAAGTCAGAAGAAGATTGGCCTAGGAACCCCTTATCGCTTGGATGTCTTCAAGACGGAGACCCGGAAGTGAAGATGGTTTATAAGGTTTGTCACGCTTCTGTTTCCGAGTCGGAGCATCCTGTGGTTGAGTACTTTCAACGCGCGTCTTCCTGGCACCGATTGAAGAAGTCAGTTGCATGGTTTTTACGGTACCGTGGAAACTTGCAAAGGTTAAGTGAACGCGGAAAATCGAGAGAGCCGATCCATTCAACTCCCATCCTTTCTTTACCACCAATTACCGTTACAGAGTTGGAAATCGCGGAGCTAGAAATCCTCAGGAACGTCCAGCAGTTTAATTTTCCGGATGAGCTTGAGCTGTTAAGCAAGTCTGAAAACGTTACGCAAGTCAAGAAAAGCAGCAGCCTTCGAAGTCTGGATCCAATCTTAGTGAACGGCGTCTTACGTGTCGGTGGGAGGTTAAGTTTAGCGTCCACTGCATTTGAGGCCAAACATCAGATTATTTTGCCAAAGAAGGATCACGTGACCAACCTTGTAGTAGAATATTACCACCAGATCTCCGGTCACTCTGGAAGAGAGTACGTTATCAGTCTTGCGCGCGAGAAGTTTTGGATCGTAAACGCAAGTTCTGTTGTCAGGAAAGTTCTTTCGAAATGTTTCAGTTGCCGGCGGCGTCAAGGCCCGTTCTGTGAGCAGAAAATGGCTGACCTTCCCGTGGATCGTGTTACCCCAGGTCAGCCACCTTTTACATCTGTCGGCATTGATTGTTTTGGTCCTCTTCAGGTACGCCGTGGGCGAAGTCTTGTGAAAAGATATGGGGTCATTTTCACGTGTCTTTCTATCCGCGCGGTTCACATTGAAGTGGCGCACAGTTTGGAAACTGATTCTTTCCTGATGGCGCTCAGAAGGTTTATAGCAAGAAGGGGCCAGGTAAAGGAGATCAGATCCGATAATGGTACCAATTTCACCGGCGGAGAGAGGGAGCTCAGGGAATCCATCAACGCGTGGAATCACAACAAGATTCACGAAGCTCTACTTCAGAAGGGTATCAAGTGGAACTTCAACCCCCCCTATGGCTCCCATTATGGAGGTGTTTGGGAGCGCTGCATTCGAACAACGCGCAAGGTCCTTCGAGCTTTGCTTCAAACTCAAACTGTTGACGACGAAGGTTTAGTCACCCTCCTATGCGAAGTGGAAAGCATTATTAATGGTCGTCCAATCACCACAGTTTCAGGTGACCCCAATGATCCGGAGCCCCTTACACCAAACCATTTGCTTCTTTTACGCTCGGAGCCTCAGATGCCCCCTGGGTTATTCCAAAAGGAAGACTCCTTCTCTCGACGCAGATGGAGACAAGTGCAATATCTCGCAGATATCTTTTGGAAGAGATGGTCTAAGGAGTACTTGCCTCTGCTCCAAAGTAGGCAGAAATGGACGACGATTCGCAAGAACCTGGCCGTTGGGGATATTGTTCTAGTGAGCGCCGAAAATTCCCCTCGCAATTCATGGCCCCTTGGTAGAGTGGTAGAAGTCTTCGCCGACAAGAAAGGTTTGGTGCGCCGTACCAGAGTGAAAGTAAAAGGAGCAGTTTTGGAGAGGCCAATTGACAAACTTTGCTTGCTGATAGAAGCTTGAACTTTCCCTTTGGAGTTATTTTCTGTGCAATTTTCTGAATTCAGGAGAAGAGAACATTAAGAACTCTTAGAAAGACACTTAGATCTTTAATTGTTTCATTTAAGTGCCTCGCGTGTGCTCCCCACTTATGGGGCCGGTATGTAAGATCCAAGTGTAACATTTTTTCTATTATTCGTTCTTGCGTAATTTGTTTTTCCTTTGCGTACGCAAATTAGTTTATACTTCTTTTCGTCCTTTTGTTTAGTCTTTTTTTTGGCGTTAATTTAGGTGTTTATTCCTTTCTGTCAGTTTTCGCGCCCTCGTTAGCCTTTCTTTGCTGTTTCATCTTCATTAGCGCCTTTCTAAGTTTCTATAGTTTTATTTTCCGCATGTTCTAGCGTATTTTTCATATCGTAGTTTTGCAGTACAGTTTGTGCAGCTCATTTTGGTCCGCGCTTAGCGCAGTTCTGTTTAGTTTCTTGCAAGTCTCTTCGCGTTATTCGCAGTCCGCTTTACAGCAGTTTTCTCTGGCCGAAACAATGTAAGTGTACTTCACAGTCCTCGTTTTGCAGCTTTGTTATTTCCTTACTCTAATTTACCTTAGTCGCAACTTGTAACTTTTTTGCTTTTTTACCGTTTTAGTTTCAACCCACGCTGTTTGTATGCACACTCTTAGTACCAAGCACGTCGGCTACAATAAATCTTAATTCGAATTTGGTTTGTGGTGTTGTTATTAAAGGCCAAGAGACTTACACGCTTATTGCAGTTTCAATAAGATCGCAAGATGAAATCGCAGAAACTTAAGATATCTCAGTTCACCTATAGAATGTTGGCAAGTTTACCTGAAATAATATTCCCTGTCACCCAACCCAAGCTCTTTGACAAGGTTATAGTACTGGCTATTTGCTCATAGCTACATAGCCTATATAAGGGAATGCCCGCCGGGGCGAAAAACGCGTTGCAGATTATAAGTTTCGCTGCTTACGCAAGCGACACTAATAGACTAGTGTTTCGTTGTTTCTTAATGAAAGAGACAAGTTGTGATTGAATAGACACGGTTTCTTAGTACTGTATTTTTGTGTAGCGAATTTAAGTTAGCGAATATTTACTCTGGAGTTAATTTTTTAGTGTTGCTGCAAAAATGTTTGCGGTAATTTTTACTTGCATGAGCTTATTTTTGCGGATGGCTGGAAAAACCGCAAAAGTCGCAAAAATTACAACCACAAAAAATTCGTGCCACACAGAATTGATTCTTGCTGCTGTTTCTTAAGTAACATGTTAGATTTGTACTGTATCGGTGAACAAAACCTGTAATTCTTTGTTTACTGTTGGGAAGGTCGAGAAATTGGCGAAGGGTTGCTTTACTTCAATTTCAGCTTCTATAATATCTAAGAGTCTACGTAGTTACTTCCAGTTGTATCCTGATCAAGCAGTTTCTTTTTGTTCGTAGCCAGAGCTCCGATTTTAATAGCCTGCGTGGCAGGTGTTCGAAAGGGAAGGGGAAGGGACTAAGGGCGCCAGACCACGCGCGAGGGAGGAGGGAGGAGGAAAACGCCTGAAAGGAAGCCATTGTTTTCGCCATCCCGCCTACCGATTAAAAAAATACCAAAAATAACTGTGACGACTAGCTGTCAAATAAGTCTAGCCGCGATGCACATATTGTAGTCGTCCTCGCACTGTTTTTCTTTTGTTTTCCTAAAACAAGAAATCTAAAGTAAAGGTACTATAAAAAAAGGTCAAATGCGGTCGTCCATCGAAGGAATCTTCCTTGAAAGCTAGCTAAAGCTGCAACGAAGCGTGCCGAGTTGCTGAAGGAATCGGACTGGAAAACTATTTAATAAGAAATGTAGTGGCTCTTCGCAACTTTCAATGCAATTTGTCTAAGAAAAATTAAAACACTTTGTCGTCTCGCACTCTTTGAATTTCTGTCAGGATGAATTGGATCCAGCGGAGCACACAAAAGAACGCTGGTGGCGGGGAAAGAAGAGCTGAACTTCGAAGATCTGCAAGAAGGCAACAATTTATTATTAAAGTAAGTTCCTGGCGGTTTTATAACCGGCAAGAAGAAGTCCTCAACCAAAAATCGCCAAAAGTTATAGATCGCTTCGTCTTCATTTATCTTGCCGTTGATAACGCGGGTCAAACGGCAGATAACAAGCTAGCCTGTGAACNGAAAGAAGAGCTGAACTTCGAAGATCTGCAAGAAGGCAACAATTTATTATTAAAGTAAGTTCCTGGCGGTTTTATAACCGGCAAGAAGAAGTCCTCAACCAAAAATCGCCAAAAGTTATAGATCGCTTCGTCTTCATTTATCTTGCCGTTGATAACGCGGGTCAAACGGCAGATAACAAGCTAGCCTGTGAACAGGCTCTCTGTTTGGGGAAAAAAAGCGAGGAAAGGGAAGGCAAAGGGCTTTTCCAACTCCCTAGTTCCCCGCTCGACCAAAGGCCTGTTTACAGGCTAATAACAAGCACACAGGCAGCTTGATTTTTCCTCTGGCAAGTAAAACCGACAAGCCATTAGGAGATGATACTTTTCAGAACCAGTCAGTAAAACTCATCTGCTGACAGGCCTTTTCCTTCATACGGTTCTTCAACTGCTCTTTTCTATTCTCCTTTTAAGCTGAAATTGATGCCTTCTAACGATGAATTCCCGTAGAGAAATCTCATCATGCTTCACTAACGACATATGTTTAGTTACTCAAATGGCGTGATGTTAATTTCAACCAATCGGAAAAAGGTATTAAGTCGAAGATTAATATTTGATTAATTCCGACCAATCACTATTTTCACGCTCAGAATCTGAGCGTAAAAAAATGGAGAAAACAATGGCGTCCTTGCAGGCGTTCCTTTCCTTTCCCACTCGCGCAACCCACGTGCTCTCGCGCACCCAAATCCCCCCTTCCCCTTTTAACGCCTGCCACGGAGGCTACGATTTAGTACTAGGCGTACTAGGTGACTTTGTAAGACGCGTGCTTCACATTTTTGAGGCGGATTAGAATGCCGGCTTTGTCAGAAGCCCTTTGTTTAAAACGCGGCGGGATACTCGCAGCTTAAGGCAAGCACATGCCTTGCAGCTGTCAACATAATGTTTTTTAATTACATCCTGTCATCATTGACAAGATCCGATCCATGTTTGATTGAAAGTAATTGTACAAATCTGGTACCACAAAACCGCTTTAAAAAAAAACAAAACTAGGTTATGGTTAGTTCTCATTACTTTCACTTATCAAAACAAATAAGTACTTTTATCAATTTTCCCTTTTTTTAAAACATCCTTCATTTCCAGGCGTTTCACTGTAGTCAATGAAAGACACGTTTTAGCAGTCTTCTTTTAGGCGGGAATATCTTAATTTCCATCTTTAAAAACGCGATGAACCAAAGCACAGGGTACCAAAGCGTCAAAGGCGCACGATACAGTCCTGGTGTTTTATGAGCACCCGTTAAAAATATTGAACGCCAGAACTATCAAGTTTTCGTACAACGAGGGACAGCTAGTTTCTGTACCCATGTACAGACTATCGAAGGAATACAAGAGGGATGCTTGCCCATGGTTAGCAGGCCTATCTACGCAAATATATGTCTCATTACATCCTTGTCTGCGAAGTTAGTACTAAATTTACACTCTAGAGTACATTACACGACCCAATCAGCCACACTTTGCAAGTAGAATTGGCGATCAGTGTAGGCAATTTATATTTCTAGGGGACACCCGTCACATAAAGGCCGAACGCGCAGGGGAGCTCGGGGGGGTTTTAGTCAATGACAGGCATAGCAGTTTTCCTCAAAATCTATCCAGTTAGAGTGCGATAATGTACGCGTGAACTTTGCCTGCAACTGGCAATAAGCTCAATAAACCGGAAGCTGAACACTATGAATAACTTGCTACATCACGTCGCTCAAGTTTTTAGGGGGATACTAAAATTGTATTTTCTTAAGTACAGGAGAGGTTTTTTCGCGCATTCTCTTGCGCAGTTTAGCAGTGATAATACCGAGCATCAGACAGGTTACGCACCGAAAGCCACCATTTTACTCTTCTTCTACTAAACGGTTTTCCTGCAATGGTCTTAGTTCTGGTCCCCTTGCGGAAGCCTTGCACGAGCAAGATACGGTCAACTTGAAAGAATCGATATTATACTCGGGACAAGAAAAGGTCGCCGTCGAAGGAAATGAGCGTGTAAAAGGTATTTATTTATTTACTTTTTCTTTGGGTATTAAGGAGACTGTATTGATTTGGATCTTGGAATTGGAAGTGGAAAAATCCCAGATAACAGTATAACCGCCTCCTCTGAGATATCAGAAGCCAAGAATGGACGTTTGAACGAAATAAAAGCATGGTGTGCGTCTACAGAAGATGCTAAACCTTATTTACAAATAGAACTGGAAACCATCCATATTGTCTGTGCTGTGTCAACACAAGGAAATCCAAATGCAGATCAGTGGATAGAGACCTACACAATCCATGTATCAACGGATGGAACCACCTGGACAAATTATAAGGAACATGGTCAAAATAAGGTACGTTACTGCATTCCTTCCACTTTATCTATGCCAACTCTTGTATAAAAAACAACAACAACAAAACCGATAAAAACCACAAACCAAATAGAGTGATTTTCGTATGACCTTGAAATGAAAACGCGCGAACAAAACAGAAACAACAAAAGAACGGAAATAGAGCCATTTCATTGGTTTATCGAATGGATACATACAAACGCGCGTGGCTTTTGGTTGGTTAAGCGAACGCTCGGGTGAAATAACGTCATGCACGAGAACTTTCTAGAAATTAGTCGATACTCCGTTTTGACGTCATACTGCAACTTAGATTTTGCAAGATTATTGACCTGTAAAATTCGGTTACATATTTTACACATATTGCAGAACTTAAGGACAAAAAGAAAATTTGAGTCATAAACACTTAAACTGAAAAGCTTTGACTTTTAGAAAACGAGGAACTCTTTCGAAATGTAAATGAAAAGAGTTTATCTGCCACGTTCCATTACCTTAGGTATGAAAATAAAATTCGATTAGAAGAGCTGGTTGATTCTTTAGCCTAATGACGATAATAATGATGTTGATTGCAACACTAATGAAATTGACATGAGTAATGGAAAGGACAATGATAAAAGCACTATAATTCCGTGAAACTGACAATTTCAAACTTCCCTGGTTGTTGCCGCAATCTCTACGGAAATAGCTACAGTGAAACCTGTATTAAGCGGACACCCTCGGGGAATGCTGTAATGCAGGTTTCGATAGATAATGTCATATGAGGTGTCAAATGCCATTCAAATGAACAGTGGAAACGTTTAGAACTTTCCCAGAGACTATGACGATATGCGTTTGCATTAATTTCTTTATTAAAGTGGACCAATTGATCATAGTACCAAAAACATATATTACAACTCAAATTTGAAGAAACCAGATGAGTGAAACAAGCTCTATAGAAACAAAACGAAATAGAAAACAATACTGTACTGTGAATCCCCGGGGGGGGGGGGGGAGATATATAAATCAGAGCGTTTGGGTCTAGAATAGGGTATCATTTTTCAGGAAACTGATCAGTTGGTTGAAGATTTTATCTAGACTGGGGAAACAGCTACTGTAGGATGGGGGGATTTTGGGAGTTTACTCTGGTATAGGGTAGCAAAATTCAGCTGAACTAACTCTGGTATAGGTCAAGGGTTCCAGGGTCCCAGCGGCACATCCCCACCCAGAAATTCCTAAAGTGCCCCCCCCCCCGGGTGTGAATCTAATCAAATAAGTTCGTCCAATCACGTTTTTTAATGTAAAAATCGAAAAATTTGTGTGTGGCAATCTTTCGCATTTCCGGCTTCTGGCACAGTGTTGGGTGGTGGAAGTGTCCGTTTAATACATACTTTTTAGGTGTCCGCGTCCGCTTAATACAGGTGACCGCTTACAGCGGTTACCACTGACACGTGCCTTTAAAGGTTTTGTTTTTTCTGTCTGTTTAAACTGAGTTTTCGTGGACGTCAATCAACTGTTTCCATGGTTTTCCACGCGCTCTGACAGAGAAGGTTCCCTCATCGCTGAATGAAGGGCGAACGGCTTTTTAAATTATTTTATTAAGATGAAGGATTACATTTTTAAAACAACGAGGTCTTTGCGAGCTGAGTGAAATAGCCGAAACATTCTCTATAGTTTACGTAACTGGTTTTCAGGTTGTTTATTTATTTGAGGTATGAAAACACGGGAGGCGTGGACGACTGAATTGCCAAGAAGCTAAGCTAGTATAAATTCAAAGAAACAAAAGATATCACACCGAAAAGGGAAAAAGTTTCCTCTTCATGGAGGCTGTTTTCGCAAATGAATTTTACTACTTATCATTCTTCATGTTATCGAATAGAAACCAGAACTAGCAAGAACTCAGACGAGTTGCGAGCGATTAAGGATAAAGCTTATGTGGTTGTAACTTACAGTGTGTAAATATGTTGATAATTTGAGTTTCCTCCGAGAAACACTCAACAAATTCTTTCTCCTCGTAATCTTGACATGAAGCGGTGTCAGATCCTGCAGCAAAATATTGCAAAAACGGCTGAAACGCCGACATATTCTTCCGAGTGCTCAAGAAACGCAGAAAGAATCTTCTCTAGGCCAACGCGTGAAAAACCATGGTAACGGTTGATTGACGTCCACCAAAACGCAGGTTTGAACCGAAGAAAAAACCCTTTGAGGGCGCGTGTTAGTGGTAACCGCTGTAATAAAAGGTTTTATGTAAAGTAAATAAGGGAAATAAATTTGGGGACATCGGCTACTGTCCGTTTAATAGAGGGTGTCCGCTTAATATAGATTTCACTGTATGTTGTTCTTTATAAAAACCCTGGGTAAATGTAGGTGCGTACTTATTTTCCCTTTTTTGAAATATAATAGATTGACTGTATCTGTTTTGACGGTTTAAATATGTCTAAACTGTTGTATTGTGGTTAGACTTTCACAGGTAACAACGACAGAAATACAGAGAATAAAAGCATCCTTTCCGAGGGTGTTTTAGCGAAAACGCTGAGATTCATTGGCCAAACCAGTCACAACAGGTTCTGTCTGAGAACAGAAATATACGGAGTAAAACTAAAGCCAGGTAAACGATTTCTGCTTACAATTACCGCGGGGGAAGGGATACCCCTGGGAGTTCTTAGTGATTTATGCCACCCGGCTTTTCCAGTAGGCCCAGATTCTATTTCAGACCAGACAAGGAAAAAGTCCCACTTCCGGTTGCGTGGACGTGCGTCGTTCAAAAATGCTGAAATGACGTGATCAAATACAATCGTAAAGTACGAACAACATTTTTTAATTTTAAATTTTGGGGTGAATGAGAAGACAGTAACCGAGAAATTATGAAGGAACTGGGACTGTTGGAAATTAGAAAACTTTCGGAAAATCCGAGGCGAAGAGAGATTTCAACCTCGTCCCCAAAGTCTTCTCATTGGAAAACGAGAAGACCGTGGGAATGAGGGAGAGATCTTGGTTCCAGACTTCGCGCTGACCGCAAATTTTAAAATGGCCGCCCGAGAGAACACATTTCACGCACCGATGAAGTAAGTAATCTTTAT